GAAGAAGTGTTTTCACCGCTTTCTTTATCCTGGTCTTCATCCTGGTCTTCATCTTTGTCATCTTCTCCGGACCCTCCCAGTTGCTACTTCAAGAACTCATTTGCTTTCTTAACAGAGTAAATTCTTTCTTTTTTTTCATTTATTCTGAAGAGTAGGCCTTCGAGAACCAACCATTTGTACTGTATGTTGTTTGTTTGTAAAAACAATGCCAAGTCTCTGGATTTCTTCCTCTTCTTTCTAATTTCAAATGGAATGTCTTTTAGTATCCATATGGTATTACCATTGATTTTCAGGGGTGTTCAAGATTTGGTCCCTCACATGTCTTTTTGAGAATCTAACCACTATTTCTCCAGGCAGATTATTTTTCTTAATATATTCCGAATATGATCTGTAGACCACATCCATTTCGCTTTGAAGATATTCCGTTTTCAAATCTGCCACTGGTGCAAGTAGATCACCCAATACTTGTTTTAGATTCTCTCCTTTTGTCTCAGGAACCCCTTGGAATCTCAGGATAAAGCTTGCTTTTTCTATTTGTAGTTGCAAAAGCTGAGATTCTGGATCTTGTACACTGATGAAGGGGGAAGATGGCAGAAGATGCAGAGTGGGCAGAACAACCTCGATGTGGGTGGGGACTGACCTTCAAGGGACAACAAAGGGGTGTGGGGGGAAATCTGAGTGAATCTGTATGCTTTTGAATTACCTTTGCCTTGGAAGCAAAACAAGGGGAAAATTGGCACAAAGGCACTCTCAGAAAATGCGGGGAAACAGTGACCAGAAAGATGCTATACTGACTGTGGGATGTGACTGTGTGATGGAAAGAATATGCATCTATTGGTATGTGTGTGAGAGTGAGAGTGAGAGAGAGAATTCCTGGCTGCTTCATGTATGTAGAAAATGCTGGACAAAGTCAGTAGTGGTAGCCAGTTATTTCACTTGTGCAATAAGTTGATTAGTTGGTGCCAGTTGCTGGTCAGCCTATTAATAACAACAACAACAACGCATTGTGTGTGGTATAGACAGGAGCAATGAAGATTTACTGGCAGCCTGAAGTTCTAACTCTTTTAGCAAGCTAGACTTATTTTGGGGGGCTGAGAGAGTTCTGAGAGAATTGTGACTGGCCCAAAGTCACCCAGCTAGCTTCATGCGAAGGAGTGCAGAATCGAACCCAGTCCTCCAGATTAGAGTCTACCGCTCTTAACCACTACACCATGCTGACTCTCTATGTTTTCCACTGTGTCACATGAACACATGAAGTGGCCTTACACTGAGTTAGACCATTGGCCTGTCAGGGTCAGAATTGGCTGATCTGACTGACAGCAGCTCTCCAGAGTCTCAGTGGCTCTCCACAGTTTTTTACATCTCCTGCTACCTGATCTTGGAATCCTATAGATTGAACCTGGTACCTTTGCGTGCCAAACAGGTGCTCTACTACTAAGACATGGCCCCATCCCATTAAGCAGAAAGATTAACCAACCTATTTGTATTGTACAATGTGGGTTAACCCTTTTCATTTCTGAAGCTGAGGCAGTGATGCTTCATCGGAAGCTTTCTATCACTACCTCTGTTGCTACAGAGAGACTTATTGATATAAAGGTAGCTCTGACTTCAAACCTAATTTACTGCTTCATGTAAAAAGTAGCAGTCATGAGCCCAGAATATTTGGCCAATATGTAGTTGGGTTGAAGCAGAGGAGAAGTATAGACGTGACAGCCCAGGATAAAAAAATGTTGTTTTTTCTTAGGCCTTTTTTCCAATTTCCATTTTTTCCTGTGAAACATAGAAAAAAATTCCTATGAAATATTTTCTCTTTTTGAATGAGAAAAATCTTGTCTTACAAAGCATTTCAGTCATTGCAAATACGCAGTGTAAAAGAGTTTGAGAACCTTCTTAATTTTTCCAGTAGAAAAATTGGAAAATTTGGGGGAACACTGAAAAAATATATACTGTAGACATATACAATATTTCCAGTATTTTTATTTAGATGTAAATAGTTTTGACAACAATTAATATGTTATGTGTTTAAATGATGACATTGTTATTAAAGAGCTCAATGTTTTCAGTGTTATAAAGTTTAGTTTAATATCCAAACATGCTGGCCATTCTAGCTATTGTCACTCTGTGAGTGGGTTTCAGTCCAAATAATACACTTTGTTTTGCTTACTACAAAAATTGTTTTTTCCTTTCAACTTTTGTTTCTTACTTACTCTCATATGGCAAAAAATTAAAAAGACATGTGCTTTGGTGGCATAGGGTACAGCAGTTTGCAGCATTTGTGCCCCCCCAAAATTCACCCCCCCCCTCATAGTTTCAAAATTCCTGGAAATATTACATCTCTAGTTTTTCTTTAGGAATCCCATCTCTTCCCACAGTCCCTTTTCTACCTTATGTGTAAAGATTTTTTTTTTTACTTTCAGAGTCTGCATTTGATCCAGAAAGTATGAAATTAGCTCACTGTAGCGTAGCCCTTTGTTGAACTGTCACCTCCCCCCACACATATATCACTCTCAGAGATTGCTGAATATTTTAACAAAACCAGTTCCCCTTTGTATCCAAAGCCTTTACTACCTTTCCCACCCCATGTGCTGGCTGAGCTGCATCTCACATCCCAGCATCTGGGTTGCAGGAAAGGGGGAAGAGGAAAACATCTGTATTCCTTGCATCTTGTGTCATTCATGCAGTATGTGCTGATGTTTCTTCGTTGCTTCCGAGGGCTGCTCTGATAACAGGATCTCATATGCAAGGTAGTATGATTTAGAGGACATTGGTAGCAAGGGCATCTTTGGAGAGAGGCTGTGGCTCAGTGGTAGAGCATCTGCTTGGCATCCAATCCCTGGCATCTCTAACTAAAAGGACCAGGTAACAGGTGATGTGAACGATCTCATCTTGATATCCTGGAGAGCTGCTCCCAGTAGGCAATACTGATCTTGATGGACCAGTAGTCTAATTCAGTATAAGGCAGCTTTATGTGTCTCTGTGCAACTGATATTCCTTGGATACGTGCTCAGATAACTCCTGAGTTAAAAGTCTCGATGTGGAAATAATGAATACTTTGTCTACTCATGCATCAAACACAAAGATGCTGAGCCTCTCTTGAGGCTGCTGTACATGCCAGTCTCATAAGCAGACATTGCAGCACTTGGCCAGAAAAATGACTAGAAAGTACAGCTTAGGGTTGCCAGGTCATGTCTAGCAAATTGGTGAGAGATGATGTCACTTCCAATTTAACCATAGAATTTTGGGCAAACACAAGAGTGTCATCCAACATGATGGTATCACTTCTGGGTCATGCTGGAAGTGGTGTAATTCTGCCAGCGATGCCTATCTCTCCCCCCCCCCATTTTGCTTGGTGTTTTCCTCCTATTTGCCCAGCTGAGTGGTGGTGAGCAGAGGCAAAGAGGGTGCCTGGTAACCCTAGTACAGCTTCCTGTGTGAAGTTTCCCTTAGAAGCCCTGCATGTATTTAACTTTTTAAAACTCCTAATTCTGTGGTTGAAATGAATTATGCAAATTATGTAGATTAGCATTTATCTATTTTGCCTAATGCTCTTCTGGTTTAGGCAATTTATTCTGCGCAAAGTTTTTTTAAAGTATTTGGGCCCAGAAGATGGAGCACTTGATGCTACGGAGTTGCTGAGGCTGTTGGGCATGGTCAGTCTGTTAGACAAGAAACCATGATGGGGAGATAACATTTTAATAATTTGTTTTAAAAGAGAATGTAGATTTTCTCCTTCCCTAGCACACACTGAGGAATTGGGTGGCAGACCATAAGGATGGGTGATGGCAGTTTTCAAGATCCCTCTCCTCTTCATCCTGTAGCGTATCAGTGGAGGTGTTTCGAGATGCAGATTTCGCTGATACCACACTCCTTCCAGCTGTGATTTCAGCATGCTCTTGAGAATAATGTATACACATTTTCCTGCCACAATTTATTTCAATTGAAAAATTTATTATACAGATGCCAAGTTTCCACACTAAATATTAGATTCCATGCCTGTAGAGCTCGGTAGTTGCTTACGTAGCTCTGGTCTAAGGGATGCTGTTTCCAGAATGCCAGTGCTGTCTAGGCTATGATATAATATGACGTGAGTTGCTTTACTTCTCTTAGTGATGCTTCCATTCCTTGGGAGCCGCAGCTGGAAAGGGGAATCAGCATGTCATCTCCCCCCACCCTGCACTGATCCCTGTCCCAGTTCCTCCTTAACGGCAGTTCCCCAATCCACTTCCCACATTGTTCCTAACCATCCCCTGGTGTTCAGGGGCAGCTTTGATGGGGTACAACGTGGAGGGGAAAGCAGCAAAAATCCCTTCCACAAATTTGTTTGTTCTTGGCAGTCAGTCTTTGATCTGCTGTAGATGGTACACGCTTGTTGACAATATGTATTTGCAGGCAGTGTCTGCCATAAAAGAGCTCTGTTTCTAAGAAAGGATGCAAAGGATATCTGTAATATAAATAAGAAAAGTTATAGAAGATGAGTGACACGCTAGTGTGCTGTTGGGAGATCTAGGTTTGAATTCCTACTCCACTGTAAGCTTATTGGGTGACCTCAGGCCTGTTACACACTCTTAACCTAAACTACCTCACAGGGTTTTTCTGAGGATAATATGGAGGAGATGAGAATAGCATAAGCCACTTTGAGTCCCCAGTGGGGAGAAAGGTGGGGTGTAAATGAAGCAAAGTAAAATACTCCTGCCAACCTAGCAGTTCGAAAGCAAGAAATTGCAAGTAGATAAATAGGTACTACTTCGGTGGGAAGGTAACAGCGTTCCGTGTGCCTTGGTGTTTAGTCATGCCGACCACATGACCACGGAAATGTCTTCGGACAGCGCTGGCTCTTCGGCTTTGAAACGGAGATGAGCACCGCAACCCTAGAGTCGGACTCGACTGGCTTTCGAGCAAGGGAACCTTTACCTTTACCTTTTTAAAATAAAATAAGGCTGAGAATAGAGCAGTAATATTTCTCTGACACGCTTTCCGTCTTCTCCTTTTCTTTCTTCTAGGCCTGTCTGGGAACCCTGCCGATCTCGAGAAAAGAAGGCAAGCATTTGGCCAGAACTTCATACCACCAAAAAAGGCCAAAACCTTTCTACAGTTGGTTTGGGAAGCACTTCAGGATGTCACATTGATCATCTTGGAAATTGCAGCCATAATCTCCCTGGGGCTGTCTTTCTATCACCCTCCTGGTGGTGACAATGAACGTGAGTGACTTTTGACTTCTGTGTGTACATTTATTTTTATTTTTAGCATAATGGGTCCAGGCAGGCATCCCATTCCTATACAAGGACCTGACACAGGAGGGCAATCACTAGGTTCACCTTTTCTATGTAGGTATTACAGCATCCTACATGTATGTTCTTCTCATATATCTGCTACAATGTGTAGGACTCCAGGTGCACATTGGAACAGGACATGAAGGTAGGTGATGCTGAGGAAGGGGGAACTAGACCTTCCTCTCCTAGAACTTCCAACTGGGTCCCTCTCCAAGTGGAAGATGTGTCTACCTTATCCCCATAGTGAGCAATTGCTTTAAAATAAATGACTCAATCAATAAATCGATTTCAAGGCTTAGTAATTTTGTGCTCAATGACTGATTTGACAGTTGTCTAGGCCAGAACCTTTAGTAAGTATAAAGCCATGTTGTGCTGATTTTTTCATGTAGTTGTAAATATAATTTTATTTATTTATTTAATTCAATTTTTATCCCGCCCTCTGTTGGGCTTAGCAAGTTAAAACACTTCAGCAATTATAGAGTTAACTTTGTTTGTGTCAGGCAACAAGAAGCCACATGTTTATTTGTATCCAATCTGTTTACTTAGTATAAAAGCCAGGAATTCTTCAAGACAAAGGCAGGAAAAGGGACCTCAATATGCTAAACAGCCAATACATTGATTTCCAATCACAGGGCTAAAGTTCAGGTCATTATAATAAGACCTCCTACAAAATTCACGGGCTTTTCCCACCTCCCATTTTGTAGGAGGTCATTATAATAATACCTGAGATATTAACTGAGGAAGTCACATGTTTACTTGTACCCAATCTGTTTACTTAGTATAAAAGCCAGGAATGGCGTCTCCTCCTCCTCCAAGACCTTCTCTGCAAGCGGGCTCAGGGTAGGTTACAAATGACAAAATAACAATATAATCAAATAGTTAAAACCATATTTCTCTTAAAACAGAAACCAAACACAATCAGTGTGCATTTGCCTTGACACAACGCTCAGTTTGTGCTGTATCCATTTGGTCAGCATTGTCAGCAGGGGAGGCCAAGACAGATTTGGATGTCCGCTGCCTCATCTGAAGGCTCAGCACAACAGCTCCGTCTTGCAGGCCCGGCAGAATTGTATTATTCTTCCTTTGCTTCCTTACCCGATTAAACATAGATATTTCCCAGAGTTCCATAGCTGACAGTGTTTTCCTGCCCACTTTCTCAATCACCCGCATAGTCTTGGCACACTAGGCCTCCCCCTCTTCAGCTTAATGCAACAATACTGAGGTGTAATAAAACGCTAAACAACAGCTTGATACAAAAATTATTTCAGTTAAAGCAACTGCTCCTGGTAAGTTCAACATGCAGTGAAAATGAGAGTTATTTCCTTTGCCCTTCTCAAGTACAGTTGTTGGGTAATTCCATTTTGCTAATTAAAAAATTAATGCAATGCTGTTTCCAGGAGCTACAGTATTATTTTTGTTTTCCTAGTCTATAATGTTGTGCAGAATTGCTGAGTCCTAGTAAATAAGTTAGCCTGAGCTTCAGTGAAGATACAAGTAATTTCTGCTTAAATACTACCCGAGCAATATATGAAACTATCACATGTATGACAGTCTGCAGGTTATTGTCTGTATTACCGCCATTAGGCTCTTGGTCAAATCAGTATATGGCTGCATAGAGATTAACTGTAGTCAAGGTGGAGAAGAAAGACAGTGGGACTAAAATGTCATCCCACCAAGCTCTTTCATAAAAGAAAAGGAGATATCAGTAGTTCTTGTCTTGGTTGTCTGTATTGCTGCTGTAAACTGACAGTTCAGATTGAACCATATATCTGAATGTGAGGGAGCTTGGATGGTTGATGGTTTTGAATAAGAAAGAGGGACATGCAGTTCTCTTCCTGGGTCAGTACTATTTTAGGAGCTCTGGGGGCGTTTTGTTTCATGAGAACAGTGTGTCATATTTTATAGGAAATTGGATTAAAAGTCCCTCTTTACCTGTGACTAGAGGCTGAATAATTACATATATCCCACACTACATTTCTTCCACCATAATAATCAAGGCAGTATACACAGAGAGTCACTGCACTGTACTAGTTAGGGTGTGATATTAGGATCTGGAAGACCAGGGTTCAAGTACCCGCTTAGCCATGAAACTCATAGGGTGACCTTGGGCCAGTCACTCTCACAGGGCTCTTGTAGAGTTAAAATAGATGAGATCAGCCATGTATTCTGCCCTGACACCCTATTAGGAAGAGCAGGATAAAAATGGATGGATAGACGTCTCCCATCCAAGCTTTTGCTAGCCCCAAGCCAGCCTGGTTTCTGCAAGACTGTTATGTAATGTGCCTTAAGACCATACTATCACCTGGATATTGTATCCACAATCAGAGTTGCTGTGGAAGACAGGGAACTGAACAGGGTGATGCTTCTGTGGTTCTGGTTTGTGCTACCATCAGAGCACATAAGCTATACTTTTCTATAGAGGCTGCAATTGAGGGTTTCAAATCTCTCTTAGGAGACCTCTTCTGGAATCCATCTAGTTTCCCTCATTTCAGAAGGAGAGTTTTCTGTTGGCTTTGACAGAAGCTCAGGCTCTTAGAACCTGAAACAGGAAACAGGCTCTTAGAACCTGAGAACAGCATGAGGCTAAAGAGGAAGAGTTGGGCATGATGTCTTTGAGTGAGTGACACCTAATAATGCATAGCCCTGGCCCTGGCCCAACAAGCTGTGCAGTATAAGGGTGCATTTTGTACCAGTTGTCTTTTCAAAGAAAAATGTCCCGGGAACAGTTTGGACCAACTGTTCCCTCTAAGCTGAGTTAGTGTGAGCTAGTGCACGGTTATTTGGCCTCCAGCTCACAGTTCTGTGTCTTCGCTCAGCAAGGATGGCTCCAGAGCAAACTAATTTATGCAGTATCCAAATCGCTCACTCACAACTTTAATGCCAATAGCTCACAAAGTGGAATTTTTGCTCACAAGACTCCACAGTTTAGAGGGAGCATTGTTTTAGATGTGGGAGAAAGCACACAATGTGCCAAGGCAATCTTTAAACTTCAGAGATTAGAAAGAAGAGAATTCAGAGATAGCCATTAAGTAATATTATTGCTGTTTGCTCACCAAATGTTATGCACAGCATAAGAAGGAACCATGAAGATCCTTCTTTGACATTTTTAAGAGTCATGTGTATGTTTATGGTTTGTTTTATGCTGGGCTGGATGTTTAATTTTGGATTTTAATTAATATCTTTTAATGCTTTGTTGCATTATTTTTATTTTGTAAGCCACATTGGGCAAGTTCCTGAAGAGACGGCATAAACATTTCTAACTGAATAAAACATCATCACTGAAGTTTGCCGGCAGGAAACATTTTAAGAATCTTAAAAATATATAGAGATATTATTAAATCTTAAAATTTAAGAATTTTTAAAATATACTGAAATGATGCTGTTAATGCAATAGGTGTGTGCGTAGAAATCTGATGCTGCTGTAGATGTTTATGCTTACAGCTGCTTCTAAAATATGCCACAGAGTTCTGTTGTAAGGATCTGTCGGAGCCTTGGCCTACTGATTTTTGGTTTCTGTGGTGATGGCATTTCTTGTTATTGCTAGTAGCTGACGGTCTTTACAGCAGTAGCAGTGAAAAACTTGACATGGCTTTGCTTAGAGTGACTATATCCTGATGGCTGATCAATGAGAACTGCCATGTTGGGTATGAGCGATAGTTAATCGCTCCTATGCCTGAGAGTGACTAGACTGACTACAACAGAGCTACAGCATAGTCCAAGTTTAAGCCTCTCTTCCCTAGCATTTGAAATGGTAAGCTCTAACTGTAATAGGTAGTGGTAGCTTGAATTTATATTATTAGGGCTTTTTTAATCAGTTATGCTGTGAGCTTTTGCAAATCCTGTAGAAATGAGGTTCCTAGATTAATCACTCATTACATGAAATCAGTTGTTAACTGAATTCAATACTTGTAAGTTAGATTTAGTTACATTTGGTTGCATTTTGGGGTACTTGGATAAATAGCCCTGGGAGCAAGGTCACATGTAAGTGTCATCATACATAGCTTGTGATACTGATTAAAATATACAAATTTCTTATTCACTATTTCTGTCTTTTTCACAGTTCTCTGAACATCAGCTAACATTCCTTAGCTGACAAATTATAAGGATTTTAAAGCATTTCCTCATAATGGAATCTGTCCTTGCCTTTGGTGTCTTTTTGTTCCTTTTTGTCAAAAATATTTTTATGTTCCATTGTATTTTTTTTTCTGTGAATAGCACATGGAATCAAGTTGTGCACACTTGATTTTTCTTTATAGTCATTATTAGTTTTTTCTTTTGTTATTTCTTTTCTTCTTCTCTACTAGTTCTTAACTTTTCTACCTGCCATTTTGATAGCTTTGGTACATTTGAGCTGCTGTGTACATCATCTATGCACAGTGAGTCTAAACTCAGTTTCCTGAGAGGCAATTTAAAGCCCAATAGTCTATACTTATATGAAATAGCTGTTTCCAGTGTGCATTACTTTGCACACATGGCATTGCATTTCATTTGATGCTTCACTGCCAACTCGTTTAGTTTTGTAAGATCATCCTGTTTACTGTCTGCCCTATCATCTTAAATGTTTGACTTGTTGTTTGCCTGCAATACCAGAGTTATGTCTCCCTCTCTTGCCAGATTAATATAAAAGTCCGTTGTAGCTCCTGGTTCTCAGGGAACAAGTTTGTTCCCTTGAGGCCAAGGTGGCTGACCTGGAGAAGCAGAGACAGTCAGGCACATGGAGAAGGCTCTCAGGGACTTGCTTGATATGTCCCACTCTAGTTATGGCAGCCCTGCTGCTGCCAGGGAGCATGAGGGTCAAGAGGGAACAGGGCACCGTGCTGAGGATAAGGGGAATGTGCCCTCAGAAGGGACCTCTTCTTCATCTGGTAAACGGGTATCCTTTTGCACCAAGGAACCATCCCTGGGCGGGGAGGGAGGCTCTTGGTAGT